TCTGGTACCTGTGCCAAGAAGCTGGCAGCCTCAATGACCAGACCTGAACTTTGCTGGAAAATGTGCCTTCAGTTTACTGGGAACTTTATTATGGTAAGTGACATGTAGCAGCTGCTTCTGGCTTGAGTGTGGGCTAGATTTCACCATCACCTGTGAGTTTCCCTCAAGCAATGAGTAAGCGGAAACTGCCTTACTGTCTTTGTTTATCTGTTTATCTTGTTACATTTAAGGAAGGAAGCAAGAGTGACATAGTTTTTAGGCTATTTTATTGCCCCACACTGTCTTTACATTCCTGGCCGGGCTTTGGGGCTCTGGGAGGGGGGTGAGCTTTATTCACTGCCCACTCCTCCAAATCATTCAGGTTTCTGATCAAAGGTCACCTCCCCTAGGAGGCCCTCCCTGATTGCCCAGTCCAAAACAGCCCCCTCAGTCACTTTCTAGTTGTACTCGCTCTCTTAATATCCTTCATTACCACCCCCATCTGACTTGGTCTTCTTTCGTGTTGGCTTCCCCAATCAGACATGAGCACAGTAATCCAGCGACCTCATCCATCTTGTTCATCCGTGGTCCCAGGTCCTAGCACCGTACCTGGTACAGAGCAGGTTCCTAAGTACAGTTTGTTGTTAAGGCATGAATTACTTGGGCGGTATACATCCACCTCTCCATTTAACAGAGGAGGACATGAGCCTTAGAGAGGTAAGCAACTTGCCCAAGGTCACACAGCCAGAGTGGCAGAGTTAGTGTTGTGGCTGCTCACTCGTGGGTTGTGAAAGGATTCACGAGTCAGGTAGAAATACAGAAGGAAGGTTTATTACAGTAAGAGAAGGGTCAGCTGGGCAGAGTCTGCTGGAAACTACTGCCTGGAGTGTTTGTTTCACCTGAAGTTTTCTATTTTCTAACCAGGATGTAAATTGCTCTGGCCTGTAATGGAGTCTTCTATTATGTTAGGCTTTGTTCGTTGGGGTGGGGGGAGGTGTGGTTAGACTGGTTATTGAAAGCTTTGCATATGTTATGTTGATTTAAGTTGGAGCCAGGAGTGGATCCCATAAAGATGCAAAACCTCTCCCAAGTCACAGGACCAGCACTGGGGCCAAGTAAACAGAACCATTGAAACTTGTATGTATAGTGAATGTAATGTAAACAGAGTCTTTAAGGTTTGGTGAAAATGAGGCTAAGAAAAGAAAACTTTGAAAACTCCCAAGCAAATTACACTTGTTAATTCGAGTTATACCAGGGATTCAAATTGAAAATAGAAGATTTAGTGCCATCCTCCCTATCACTATTACAATCCCCCGTCTTATCAGCTAGGATTTTAACTTGGTTCTGCTGAATCCAGAGCTTGTTGGTTTCCAGTGGCCAGAAAGTAAAGTTGAAAATCCAGCCATCAGATGTCTGCATGCTTGCTCTGAAGAGATCCCAGCTGA